GGAATCTGAGGGTCAGGTGCCTGTGGTCTCAAATCTGAGAATCTGAGGGTCAGGCACCTGTGGCTCAAATCTGGGAATCTGAGGGTCAGGCGCCTGTGATCTCAAATCTGGGAGTCTGAGGGTCAGGTTCCTCTGCTCTCTAGTCTGGGAATGTGAGGGTCAGGTGCCGGGGGTCTCACCCCTGAGTCATACTCCCTGTCCATGGACTTTGATCCACAATAGAGGTTTTTAAGATAAACACATCAGAGAGAGATGGAGCACCATGAGCCTTAAGAGTGAACTTGCAGAGTCATGTTTTGCTTCCTGCGTGGCGTTAGGGAGCTGTGGTTAAGACCCTGGGTGCCAGTGGCGCTCAGGAGTGCTGTGTTCTCCCGCAGGTGCGGACCCTCTGGCACGACCCCAGGAACATTGGCTGGAAGGACTACACAGCCTACCGGTGGCACCTGACTCACAGGCCCAAGACCGGCTACATGAGGTGAGGTGGGGGTGCAGCGGTTCTCCGCGCGGCTTCCTGTCGGATGCTGGTTGTAGCGTTAGCAGACAAATCCAATCAACTGAATTCTAACCTTCTGTTTTTCTCTGGATTCTTCGGCATTAGCTGCCTCCTCTTTTCTACGCTGCATCTGTACTAAATATTACTTGTTTTTTAAAAACGCTTGAAAAGGAGAACAATCTGCTTTGTTTTTAAAATAACTTTGGATGATAACCATATTTTCTCCTAATGAATACCCTAGGCAGGGGAGAATACCTGCAATTAAAATAACTGCATCTTTGCAGAGTTAGCTGGCGCTTTATTGGAGACTGGATTTGTATCTGTTTCTGATGATGTAAATGGCTGAATGTAAAACATGGTTGTATGAAGTTTTGACACCATTAGCTTAACAGAATCTTCTCTCCTGGCTTAACAGCATTTGTAATCGATTTTTACTGAAACAAAATGCGGACAATTTAAAATTAAGGTTTTTTTTTTTTTTTTTTTTTTTTTTCAAAGTTAATAAGCAGCCTGACTCTGCACAGATGCCAGGAGTGTGTGAGTCCCCAGCAGCAGTGGGCAGATCTGTGTGGGTGACATACAGGCTGGTGGCCTGGCCGGATGTTTCCCTGGGGGCGTCTCCTGTGTATTCACACCTACGCTCCAGCCTCCCGCCCAGGGCGTGGTGTAGCAGGCCCTGTCCCCACGCAGCTTCCAAAGCGTGGAGGAAAGCCTGTGAGCTCATGGTTTCAGCACAAGGTGATGTGGGGACAGTCCTGTGCGGCTTCCCAGGAAGGGGGAAGCTCCCTCCTCACCCCACCAAAGGCTGAGGATCCTCTCAAGCCCTTGCCTGGGTGACTGTAAATGAACACACAGATTGTGACAACGGTGCGGTGGCAGGAAGGCGTGCCCTGGTTCAGTGCTGCACCAGGGGTGGCTGCAGCTTGAAGGGAACAGCCAGCAATGCCCCCCAGGGTGCTGAAGCCCCAGGCAGAGTGCTGGGTCCCCAGATCTACAACCTGCATCTGGAGCCGACCTTCCACCACTGGTGAAGCCTTCACAGAGTTCATGTGCTCTTTCTTTCCTCTTCTTCTTTTTCAAAACCATTTTTAGAGTCTTAGTGCATGAAGGAAAACAGGTCATGGCGGACTCAGGACCTATCTATGACCAAACCTACGCGGGCGGGCGCCTGGGTCTGTTTGTCTTCTCTCAAGAAATGGTCTATTTCTCAGACCTCAAGTACGAGTGCAGAGGTGAGTGTGAGCGCCTCAGGCCAGTGGGGAGGGCGTGCGGCACCCAGAAAGGGAAGGGGTACACAGCCTGCTTTTCCGCTTACAAAAGCTGTACCTCGGGAAAAACCTGATCGCAGTAACACGCAGGACGCCAAGCAGCCATTTTGTTTGGTCAGCCTGAATTGTTTCTGTTTGTTTTTAATTGCATTCGGATGCCTCTGGTTGGACACTTTCCAATTATCAACAGTCCCACCCATCCTCATTGTGCCATATTCTAGATCTTCCCTGATTTTCTCCACCTTCCAGGCTCCAGAAGCCATTTTAGATTGGTCCTCTTGTGTTAGCAATGGCAGGCAGCCAGGCAGAAAGGGAAGAAGGAAGGGCTTCTCTACAGTTATCTCACTACAAGTATATTGGAATCAAAATATTATAGAGCTGGAAGAGAACTTGAATCCCATCTGCTTAATTCCATGCCTTCAAGTGGATATGAAAACATTCCCTTCACAGATGCAGTAAATAAAGCTCAGGATGCTTCTTGAAAATCACACAATGAAAATCACGTATTGGGCCAGTTAGTGACTCATGCCTGTAACCCCAGCACTTTGGGAGGCCAAGACAGGTGGGTCCCTGAGGTCAGTAATTCGAGACCAGCCTGACCAACAGGGCAAAACCCCGTCTCTACTAAAAATACAAAAAATTAGCTGAGTGTAGTGGCACATGCCTATAATCCCAGCTACTCGGGAGTCTAAGGCAGGAGAATCACTTGAACTCAGGAGGCGGAGGTTGCAGTGAGCCAAGATTGTGCCACTGCACTCCAGCTTGGGCAACAGTGAGACATCTTCCAAAAAAAAGAAAAGAAAGAAAGAAAATCATGTATGAAGTAAAGAGAATAAGATAAGAACCTTGATTTCTCTGCTTGCTTCTGTGGAGATTTTCTTCTCCTTATGTTAGGATGCCTTTTAAGGCATCTGATTTCCTCCCACCCATCCATCTCATCCATCCACCCACCCACCCATCCACCCATCCATCCACCCATCCGTCCATCCGTCCATGCGTCCATCCGTCCATCCACTTATCCACCCATCCATCCATCCATCCACCCATCTGCCAGCTATCTCATCCATTCACCCAGTCCATCCACTCGTCCATCCACCCATCCATCCATCCACCCATCCACCCATTCATTCATCCATCTCATCCATCCATCTATATATCCATCTAATTCATCCACCCGCCCACCCATCTATCTCATCCATCCATCCATCCACCCACCCATACACCCATCCATTTCATCCATCTCCACCCACTTAACTATCTTATCAATTAATCTATCCATCTCATCCACCCACCCACTCATCCAACCATCTCATCCACCCACCCACCCATCAATCCATCCATCTCATCCACTCACCCACCTGCTCATTCATCCACCTCATCCATCCATCCATCCATCTCAGCCACCCAGCCGTCTATTCATCCATCCACCCACTCATCCACCCATCCATCTCATCCACCCACCTATGCACTGATGCATCCCTCCATCTCCTCCATTTACCCACCCACCCATCCACCCATCCATCCATCCACCCATCTCATCCATCTATCCATCCATCCATTCATCCATATTGTAGATCTCATTTTTAATTAAGTTAATTGTATTTCAGGTTCTAGGTAAAATAAAACACTATAGATGGTCCAGTTATCCTAATTCTGTTTATTGCTTTTTTTTTGTAGATGTCTAAACAAGATTTGCTGCATTTCTGGCAATGCCCTGTGCATGCCGTGGTCCCTAGACACCTCAGTTCATCGTGGTCCTTGCGGCTTCTCTCTCCAGCAGCACCTCTTGTCCCTTGACCTTAACTCTGATGGTTCTTCACCTCCTGTCAGCAACCCCAAACCCAAGTGCCTTCAGAGGTTAAATATCAATGGAACTCAGAAATGAACATCTAACCCACTAGCGGAATCCAGTTTGGTGACATATAAGACTTTATGTGGAGTGAAAATTGGGCATGCCATTACATTGCTTTTTCTTGTTTGTTTAAAAAGAATGACGTTTACATATAAAATGTAATTACTTATTGTATTTATGTGTATATGGAGTTGAAGGGAATATTGTGCATAAGCCATTATGATAAATTAAGCATGGAAAATATTGCTGAACTACTTTTGGTGCTTAAAGTTGTCACTATTCTTGAATTAGAGCTGCTCTACAATGACACACGAATCCTGTTAAATCAATTATAAAGAAGGTTCAGTTCAAATTTGAAGTGATGTTATAGTAAGGAGAGATTAGAAGACAAGAGGCATAGCGAATGACATAAGCTGCCAATTAACTAATTGGAACATGTAAAACAGTTACAGAAATAAATGAACACCCCTTCCCCACTCTCCTCTTGTCCGACAACAAAAGCCCTCATGTGCAGTAGACATGCAGTTTCATCAAAGAACAAATATCCTTGCAAAATGGGTGTGACGTGGTTCCAGATGTGGATTTGGCAAAACCTCATTTAAGTAAAAGGTTAGCAGAGCAAAGTGTGCTGCCTTCAGCTGCCGCGTGTGCTGCTGTGGCGTCGGGGCGGGCCTCCTGCCTGAGCTTCCTTCCCCAGCTTTGCTGCCGCAGAGGAGGCAAAGCAGCTGGAAAAGGGCACTTGGCATCAAACTCATAACTAGGCTTTGGCAACTGCAGAAAAGTTGCTTTTACCTAATTTGATAATACATTTCATTAAGGTTCCAGTTATAAATGTTTTGTTAATATTTATTAAATGAATATAGAATGCAGCACCATTTACCAATAACTTATTTTAAATATGCCTAGTAACACATATGTAGTATAATTTCCAGAAACAAACATATAGCAAGTATATAATCCTGTGAAAATATGAGGCTTCATACTACTAGGTTGTCATGAGGAAGCATGCTATAAACTGTAACAGAATAAATAATCATGAGGAGTTTATAATGGAACCTTAATATATAATGTTGCCAGTGATTTTAATCCAATATTTTTTACTGTTATCTATCTGCTGTATATGGAATTCTTTTAATTCAAACGCTGAAAATGAATCAGCATTTATTCTTGCCAGGCACACCCAATAACCAGTCATGTGTAATATGCACAAGTTCTGTTGTGTTTGTTTTTGTTTGTTTGTTCGTTTGCTTTAAGTTGCATGAACTTTCTGCAGGAAAGAGTCGCTCATCCCACTCCACATAAAGGGTTTAGTAAGAGAAGTCTGTGTGTCCGATAGGGGGCAAGTCGTTCTCCCCTTTCTGTTAGTCTTCACATTTCTATGCCAAATAGGAAAGATCCGTAACTTTAGTCTTAATGTACGCTTTGCATTTTGATAAAATTATTTTTGTTGTTTCCTTTGAGGTTCATTGTTGTGTTGTTGTTTTGCTGCACTTTTTACATTTTTGTGTGGAGCTGTATTCCCAAGACCAACGAAGCGTTGGGAGACTTCATTAAATGTAGCGACTGTCAACAGCGTGCAGGTTTTCTGTTTCCGCGCTGTGGGGCCAACCGTACAATGGTGTGGGAATGATGATGATGTGAATATTTAGAATGTACCATATTTTTTGTAAGTTATTTATGTTTTTCTAAACAAATTTCTCTTATAGGTTGATGAAACGTCATGTGTTTTGCCAAAGACTGTAAATATTTATTTATGTGTTCACATGGTCAAAGTTTCACCACTGAAACCCTGCACTTAGCCAGAAGCTCACTTTTAAAGATTAACAAAAAAAAAAAAAAAAAAAAAAAAAAAAAAAAAAAAAAAAAAAAAAAAAAAAAAAAAAAAAAGGTTTTCTACACATGATCTCTCTCCCTTTTTTAAAAAGAATTATCAGAGTTTCTGCCGGGGGGAAAGGGGTAGGAGGAATTGGCATTTTGCTTCCTGTAAGGTAAGCAGGCCTGTGGCAAGTCACAGTTTAAAATGCAGGCTGAAGGGCCTGGTGGGGAAGGAGGCTCTGCTTGACACAGGTCTCGTTCCCCCGAGCCTCCCAGCCCTGCTGGATCCGACCGTTTAGCGATTCATCTTTCCTGCCTCTGCTCAGTGTCAAACCAGGGAATAGAACTTCGTAGGGAATTTGGCAAACATGATAGAAGTGATTCAGAAAAAGGCAACAGCACAAGGGACCCCATCCCTAACTCGAGCTGCTCTTCCCTCCTGACTCATTCTTCTGAGTCAGGGGGAGGGAAGCAGCAGACCCCAGGGGAAAGGCCCATTGCCAGCCACAGCGCTGCCTAAAAATGGGTGCATCGGGCTCACCAGCTGGGGGAGGCAAGGGCAGCAGCACAGGACGCTGGGGTTTCTTTCGAAGCTCCAGCTGCTCTTCCTGGGATTTCTGAGTAATGGAGTCACAGACACAGGAAAGACATAGAGAAGAGCAACAGGGAAAGAAGGGGTCCAGAGAGGAAGGGGAAGACAGGGAGGGATAGGGGAGAGAGAAAGAGGCAGAGAGAAAGAGGCAGAGAGACAGAGGAGGGAGGGAGGGGAAGAGGGAGGGATGGGGGAGACAGAAAGAGGCAGAGAGACAGAGGAGGGAGGGAGGGGAAGAGGGAGGGATGGGGGAGAGACAAAGAGGCAGGGAGACAGAGGAGGGAGGGAGGGGAAGAGGGAGGGATGGGGGAGACAGAAAGAGACAGAGAGACAGAAAGAAGAAGGGAGGGAGGGAGAGAG